AGAAACGCGTTACGCAGTCCGTTTCCTTGAATATTTTACTCCATGGGGAGTAAATTAATCTAAATAAATGAATAGGTATTGTTGGCCTTGTCATTATTGAATCCATATTTGAATACAATTAAGAGAATTTGAATCTCTAACAATAAAATAGCATGATGGGAAATGATCGATTAACCATTGAATAAGTTCATCTTTGTTTGATTCATCAACATTTTCTCCTGATAACAACTGTTTCGAGTATTGATCATCTTTACATTCAACATGCAATGCTTGAAGATGGTTCATATTGTTAACAAGAATACTAATACTTTGACGATTTTTTACTTGAATCATAAGTACTTTACATTGAATACCAAATGATGAATGACACAATCGAAGACAATCTTAACCCCTGGACACATTAGAAGACCCCCATCCCTATAGTCGAGATGACCCTCTCTTGAATCAACAACCCAAAGGATAGATTAGAGGACCTGCTCACCTGCTTCTAAGGGGATCGTCAGAGGAGATGGGTGGGTCTTCTCATCTATCCTTCGCTTCATTGATTCAAGGGAGGGTCATCTCTACTACAGGGGTGGGGGGTCTTCTAATGTGTCCGGGGGTTTTCTTCATTGTACCAAAAACCTTGTAAATTAAGTTGACAAACTGATGAATTTGTATATTGAAATAATGATATTTGCAAAGGTAATGATTCTTTTTGTCGAATTTGTAGATTGTGAACATTCTGTGCACGATCAAGTAAAGTTTGCAATTGAGATTGAAAAGTATCAGTGTAAGATGATACTGTAAGTGACGTCAGTTTATCTAAACTCGGAACAACAGACCAAAATTCATCCGGAATAGGAAGTTGTATACAAAGAAAATTAATGTTATGTAAACGAATGTATGATGGAATTGAATGATGAAAAAATGTGTCATGATAGATGCTTGATATGGTACTGTAATATTTCTTTTCATCATCGTGAGGATACGTTGATTTCCACCAATTAGGTAGCTTTTTTTCTAAATAAGAATATAGTTTTGATAAAGTTTCGAGGTGAATAGTTTGATCATGGATAAAACATCGAACAAACCATTTATGTTCATCCATCCAAAATGAATTTCGAAATGAATTAATTAATTCATTTGCTCGTTCTTCAACATTTTCATTGAGAGAAATTTCATCTTTCATTTTTAATTGAAATACTTTTAAATTGGATAAATAATCACGAATAATTTCTTTCCATTGATAACCATTGATTAAATTGGACGAAAAATTAACACTTAAACGACGTAAATTAGGTAAATTTTTCAAGAAAGAAATTAATTTCGATATATCATAAATATGGAATGTATAAATCGATAGATCGATTAGTGTCGGATAAAGAAATGATTTATAATCACTATCATCATTCGATTTAACAGATACTGAAAGATATTTGAGAGCAGATGTGTATTCGAATAATCGATATATTTCATTCCATTTAAGTGTATAGCCAGATATACGTACATTTCTGAGAGATGTCGAGAGCTTTGTCGGTGGGTAAAGTATCCGCTCTTTATTAACATGAACATTAAGGTGACAATAAATAAGCTTTGGTAAATTCCAAATATTGTTAATAATTGTTTGAAAATCTCCTTGATCACTGTAACAAGAAATATCGTACAAGTCTAAATGAGTAAGATCATGAAGATGATGAAGGTGATTAACAATTTTCATTAGTATCCGATATGAACGAAGGTGAAACAATGTCAACGATCGTAAATGTGTGAATTGGCAGATTGATGCTATATAAGAAAAGAAAAGATTTATTTGTCCGGGAGTTGTTTGGTAGTCATAAAGAGTCAAATAAATAACTCGATCAGCAATAAATGGTAAATGTTCTTGACATATCATATCGAATTGATATTTCGAGCAAGAAGAAAAGATAAAACGATATGCTCGAAACTGCTTGTACAGAACAAGATTGAAGCGAGAATTGAGATTATAAAATGCACGAAGAAGATTAATACCATCAAGATAATTGAATAGATCAAGTAAAATCTCATTCGGTAAAAGTTCGAATTTCATCGTGTTTTTTTTCTTCACGTGCAAGTTCTTAAAACATGCATGATACAAGATAAGACGATACATCTTGGAAGACTATGAAGGAATAACGCTTTGTTGGTAAGATATTAAACTCGTTTTATGCATCAGCTATACATAGATGTAGACTGTTAACAAAGCATGATGGAAACAACAAATCAACTCGAGTCAATCAGAGAATCAATGGACACAGACAACATGACTAGTCGGAAATGTTTTGTCTAACATGTTTTGCATATTCGTCATGTTTGTTGACCTCATCCACATTAAAACATTTGATATCTGACGGGCATTGTGAAAGAACAGCATAATTTGGCCGCCATCAAGCACAAACAACCTGTCTAGTCCGGCATATCGAAGATATTTGTGTTGTCTAAAAAAAATTTGCTCACATGATTCATCTGAGACCAGCGTTAATAGAGCGAAAGAAACGAATGTAATACAGAAATGTTAACTTTTCGCTCTTTTTCTTTCACTTAACATCAAGTGTCATATAAACTTATTTAAGCTCGGGTATATTTTTTTGCTTTTTTCTGAAACTTACATGTATTTTTCGAAGAAGAGGATGTGAGTGTAGGCGTGGGTGTGGATGGGTGTGGTTCGACTAAAGATTTGCACCCACACCCTTCAAAACGACGACGAGCTATTAATGAATTCGCTAAGCAAAATGCCATGGATCCATCATCTGTGAACTAGGGTGTGGGTGTGGGTGTGGGGTGTGGGTGTGGGGTGTGGGTGTGTGGGTGTGGCTGTGGCTGTGTGTTGGTGTGTGGGTGTGGCTGTGTGTAAGAGTAGTGATCTTCTCTTCACTCACACACATCCGCCCCCTCCCGCACCCATAGGCTCAGATTCAGGCCTACCCTCCCACACTCAGACCCACACCCAGCCACCCACCCTCCCACACTCAGACCCACACCCAGCCACCCACCCTCCCACACCTACACTCGCATCCGTACCAATACACCCACACCCTGCCACCCATTTTTCCACACCCACATCCCGCCATCCATCTTTCCACACCCACACCCCCACCGAAGATGAGGGTATCGACTTAATATCAACCATGTATGAAAATAGAAATTGATATTGGTTACTGAGATTTTTGTATTTTTTGTACATATCAATATAATATATTACATTCGCCAGAATAAAAAAATCAGTTTGATCTTTTTTCTACTAGCTGGTGCCTATCGATTTTCTCTTTCGAGTACGAATATGTTTCGATGTTACTTCATATGCAGTATTCATTATTCATAAATCACTGAAGCAAATGTTGGGTGTGGGTGTGGGTGGTGTGGGTGTGGGGTATGGGTGTGGGTGTGGGTGTGGGCGTGGGTGTGGCGTGTGGGTGTGGGTGTGGGTGTGGGTGTGTGGGGTGAGCGTGGGTGTGAGTGGGTGTGTGGGTATAGGGTGTGGGTGGGTGTGTGGGTATAGGGTGTGGGTGTGTGTGTGGGTCTTGCTCTTCTCTTTATCCATACCCACCCACACCCACACCTCATACCCACACCCACACTCACACCCACATACCCACACACTCAAGTAAGATGGAACCGATTGAAACTAACACACATCATTATTTCAGCAGTCTGCGCTATTGAAATGACGAAAATACGGTCGATTTAAATTGGTTTCACCTCATTTTCTCACAATTTATCACGCAACTGTTAGTCATTTTCACGAGGAATCTTTGAATTCTTTGTGTTGTAGAGTGATGCTTAGTAGTTGTGAGCAGTTTTATGATTTTATTATGTAAAAATAGCTCACAGCACGTTTGTCGTTCATATATAAATAATGTGGCAAAGTCACTACTGTTTATATGAAATACAAAAATAAACGAGAAACAATTAATGATCAATACAATGTCCATTTACGCTTTTTAGATCAGTAGAGATTGTAATAAATAGCTTGGGAACTTTTGTATTCGATGATTATACATATCTGCAACATACAAATTAAGTTCAGTGTCAAGCACTATGGACACGGGAAAGTTAAGTAAGGTAGCATTGTTACCGATTTCGCCTGTAACACCAGCAATTGTAGTACCATTCATTTGACCTTCAAAGAAAAATTGTACGCGATGATTGAACATATCGACTACATACATGTTACCCATGGAATCAAAAGTTACATCTGTCGGATAGTTGAGAAGTGTCGACGTGTTACCAGCCGATCCATTAATACTACCGACGATGAGTGTCCAACTATTGGCACCAAGAACCCAGCGAACTATATTATGGGCTCCATAGTTGGCGATGACAAGACTGTTCGTTGATGAGTCAAAGTAGAGACCGGCAGGATTGCGCAATTGTGTATTATTTGTTCCAGGACCATTACCACCAGCAACAATTGTTCCTGAGGAAGCACCAGTGACATAACTTACAACACGATGATTACTGTAGTCAGCTATGTAAATTGTACCAGAGTTAGGATCACGTACAACACCATATGGTCTGTTGAGTAGATTGTTTGCGGAACCAGAAAAACCTGTAAACATACTCATTGCTATTTCACTGTTGAATAAAAACATGAAAAAATTGCCGCACGAATTCGATAAGGTATCCACATCAGGAGTGAGAACTTTAAGTTGATTAATAACTTAACTCTGAATCAACTCGGTCTTTTTGTAAAATCCTAGCCTCAAAACAAAGTCGAACAGACTTGTTATTATGCTCATCACTAAGTGATCATTGCTGTACCTCGAGTTCCTCGGTATGAAATATATCTGAGGCGACTTGGTTATGGGTTTGGATCTCTTTGTTCATTTATACCCACACTCACATCCACCCATCCATATCCTACAAAGTATTGTTTCTAGTGATAAGCAGTCGAAAGCCCCTTTATTCACGAATTTCAAATTTGATTCGAAGCGAGTTAAAGTTAGCTAGAATAAAAAAAAAGAGTTTTCAGCGTAATCTGTATAGAGATGACATGTAAAACATGACAGACAAGCAAGTGAAATCTTAATGTTTATTTTTTCTCTAATGATTATTTAATGTTATAGTCTCTATATTTTTGTAGATCGATTCCATAATCGATTTAAGAAACAATTATAGCTTCCATATATTTTGACAAATATTTTCATTGTAAAACGAAGAGCGATCTCCCTACAATTGAAACTGAATAAAATAATATACATTTGGTATTGAAGAAGAGAATGATTTCGAATTATTCGCAAAATTTTCACGCTTATTCGCCGTATGCAGCATGTTGCACATTCGTTTGATATGTGCTGCAACAAGTTTTACTCACAATAGTAATTCTCTCTTACCTGTGCCAGCAACTGTTGTGCCTGAAGATGCACCGTTACTCCAAAATTGAATTCGATGATTGTCTGAATCTGCCACGTATAAATTGTAGCTCGAGTCGAGGCAGATAAAAGTAGGACCATATAAATGACTTGAATTGGTTCCTCGTATTCCATTTGCCTGACCGGCCACAGTCGTACCACTCGATGCCCCCATCGTCCATTTCTGAACTCTATTGTTGCGCCTATCACCGATATAAAGTGCATTAGATGCATCCAGAGCTAGACCAAACGGATATTGCAGCTGGTTCGAAGCATTACCCGTCGAGTTTGTAATACCAGCTATAGTGATGCCAGTTGAGTTCCAACGGAGAATAACTTTAGAAGCGACAGCTACAAAAGAAAAATACACCAAGTTAATTTTACAATAGAAACAAAATACTACTCTTGTTGTGTTGGTAAGCGCCTTTTGCACAAGACGGAGATAGCTATGGCAAAAACTTCTCTGCTATAACAATCATAACATCTATTTATTTTTACGACGAAGAGATTGAGATGATTCTTCACTGTGGAGCACATCAATCAATTTCGATATGTTTGAAGTGCCTAAGTGACTTTCATGATTTGGACGTAATTTTTTGATCAAACAATGTAGAAACTTCTTGTTTATAAAGCTTGCCAATGGCACACTTGATAGTTATCAATTATTAGCAATCGAAATAAATGTAAAACTTCCGTTCATAAAGCTTGGCGAAAGATAATGGAACGAGAGAAACCCAAAGTTGTACTCTGTCTTTTGGACCTCCATTCCTCAGTTCTTTCAAAAATGTTTCATAGAGAAAGAGGACGATTTGAGTTAAAGGTTTAGGTTATGTTTTGAATAGAATCTCAGACAATAAAGCTCATAGTGCCGTAACATGACTAGTTTATAGGAAGACACCAACGGAGAGTGGTGTTTCAAAGGTCCTGTGACGACTCACTCGGAAACGATTTCTGTAGCTTCGGATGAGAACGAATTTGTAAAAAAATCTTTAAGTGAACGACAAACCTAGATTAGAGCCCCAAAGGAGCATCGATGACAGACTCGAAGATAAACTTGGAATTTTATATGAGAAAGCGATTTATGCAAAATATTTTTATGAAATAATAGAAGCTTATTCTCTAGTGATCAGTCACATCAAGGATTGAAATAACATTGCGAAATTTAGACAAAATTTGTTTCTCAGAACACGTACTATCTTTCAAAAAATCGTTAGCGAATCCATTGGACGAGCACTACTTGCTTCAATAAAGAAAGAAAAATTTTAAAAAAATAAGGCGAAAAATAGCAAATACACCAATCCATACTTGTTGATTTTGTGGTCAACCAGAGTGTAAGCACAGCAGCGAGAGCTATTCCACCAAGCAATAGTCCGACAAAAAAGCCATGAGTGCATGATGAACAAAAAAAAGAATCTTTGCTCTTGACTCTTTGCCTTGTACAAACACATAAATACATTTTGTTAACAATGTCATCACAGAAAAATATTTTTCTTTGTTAGAACTGTTTTCTGTACTGACTTTACCTGCTTTCGTTGTCTTGTTTTGCCCAGGGATTGTTATTAGTAGATGAGCGATGCCGACCTCTGGTTGACAGCGGATCCGGTGACCATTCGTTCAAGTAGGGAATGCTCATTGTTAGAATGATGAAAGGAGTATTTTATGCTGATTCAGGTGAATTAAATTATGTACACAGATATTGAAAAACTATATTATACAGCTATACAGTGATCAGAGCACTTCAACGAGTTTCAATCTGCCAATGTTGATATGTTATTTTCGATAGACAGGCAGTTGGGTTTCTTTCTTCATTAAAAATTGACCTTAAGTAAACAGAAAAAATCTGAAGGAGATTTATTTGATCGGTAAAAATCATTTTGTATGCTGTGCCATCGTCTCATTTTCTTTATCACAGGAATAGTCTTGCATAATAAATATCGAAATATATACCAGGAAAGACGCTTTCATTTAAGTATATTTGTACCAATCAATAAAGTGTATTTGTATTTTTCCATTAGTGGAAGGTGTCATCAATTTAGTGACTTGTAATAATCACATTTTTTTCCGAGAATAATTATACGAAGAGTCGTTTATTCTTTCTCTATTGACAATATGATCTCCGTCGCTATAAAACTAACGCAGCATTCAAGTTTTTATTCACTTCTCAATCTCTGATAATGTTCAATAATTTTAACAGAAGATTTCAATAATTAGGATCGACCTGAAACTTTACTCACAGTATGTTTAATGATTCTTAGAATCACGGACTTTTCTTATAAAACTAATCAGATCTTTCCAGATGTCGGGAATGTGTTGAGAGTCGTCTTTTACAGAAATAATCAGTTAGGTGTTCTTTGCATTATCGTATCGAACAACAGCTTCTGTTTTGTTGAGCTCAGTATGAAATATAGAGACTATAGGTTTGTGTCTGAAAACATTTACTCGTCTCATTCCCATTACAGACCCCAAATATTATTCATTAGTATTTTTGCTTATTACTTTGCACAGTAGTGTATCAAAGATTTGCTTCGCAATAGCGCTGAAGCACCATCGTGTCGTCATTAACAAATATGGATTCAACTTCTTTTTAGAAGAGAAAAAATTCATTAGTGACAGCAAACAAAATGCACCATTCGTTGATTGTTTATCGATCTTTTTTTGCGCATGTGAAAGCAGCTACTTGAGAGGATCTTTTTCAAACGCAATGTCTTTTTCGGAAAAAAAGAATAAAGAAAAAGTAGGTATTTATAGGAAAAACAACAGTTTGTCCTATAAATAAGTTCTAAAGTAAGGATGTGCATGTGCTTGTGGCTGTGTGGATATGCGCATGGGTAAAGAGAAGACCATATCCACACCCATGAATGATCAATTTTATTATACAGCTGAAACGTCCATCAAGAAAATAGAGACAAGCAGCAAAAGTTTCGACATTGATTTTTTCATTTAGTTAAAGTCGAAGATGTACAACTTATTGACGGTTATTTCCACAAATAAACCGAGATCGTTATATTAGGAAACAATTGATAAAGATTTAAACTAATTAATCGTTTTAAGAATAAAAATAAATGGACAATTGTATAACATATAAAATTAAAATAGAGAAAACAGGGTGCGGGTGTGGGATGTGGGTATGAGTGTGTGGGTGTGTGTGGATATGGGTCTGGGTGTAAAGACAATTAGATCGACACCCACACCCACCCACACCTACACCCTTCATTTACTATCATTCACTTATGCACGTAAGATGCCGATTTCTGTATAATTCACGTTAATGCAGGAAGATGCGTTCGGTGTCTAGTTACACACTTCAATCAAGATGTCATGTGCCATTGTATGACTGTAGAGTATAGAAATAATAGCCTGGAGCATCCAATTTCTCTGTGATATATCTTTATCTAAGAAAAAACTGCGTTTCTCCTCTCTGATGTATGATTAATAAAACGTTTGGGAGAGAGAGGCGTGCTCCATTTAATTATTCGGCGATCGGCACGATTACTGATGCTACGATAGTCTTGAATGTGTATGTGAAAAGATAGTTTCATCTAAATTTCGACGAATTTTTCCATTTACTAGAACTTCATCCTCACCAATAAGAATCATGCTAATACTTGGTACTTTTTATTGATCACGCTTTGACTTTTTATTGTATAGGATCGGTATCTACTCATTTTCACTGATCAACGGAGAAAAGTTTTTTCAATTTCACTTTTTTCTATTACTTTGTGGCTACTATTTTATCTCTTTGTAGCCGCTTACACATTATGTAATAAGTTTTTTGGGCTGTTAGAATTTTTCTGATACATCATTTACCACAACGAAATCAATATAATTCAATATATTGAGAAAATTGTGTCAAGGTGCTGTTGAATATGCTTGGTAGTAGTTAAGTAACGCTGTTTATTTGTTTTGTCGAGTGAGTTTTTTTACCTTAGCAGTACGACAATTTTATACGCTTTCACTCATTTCTAATTTGCTTGATTTTTTTCTCTTGTTTCATTTCTTTTTACATTCTCTATCAAAAACGTACTTACACAAGATGCACATGTTGTGCAGAAAACGACATGCTTGAGTGATTTGCATACAAAATGACATCAAGGCACATTTATACTTTAAAAATATCGAAAAGAAAAAGATAGTAGAGAAAAATCAAATTACTTCTTATTTTGCCACACTTCATATATTATACCCATGTATACTTAAACAAACAGCCTCAGAAC